TCTCTCTCTCTCTCTCTCTCGCTCGCTCGCTCGTAGTCTGCAGATACTGAGAAGTCAGGTAGCGAAAGGGTGAAGAAGAGATGATGGACTTAGAAGAGGAAGAAGAAGAACTCTCTCTCTCTCTCAGTCCGGTACTAACCTGTGAAGGTGGTGCCTTGTTGCAGGTACATCAAAGACGAAGCTGGAGCTATGGCGCCACAGGTAAGTCTCCCTGGCCTCCGCCAACCATCTCTCTCTCTCCCTCTCCAATGCTACTCTAGCTCCTACTAGCGCCCAGCGCTGAAGAGTACTACTACTCCTGCAGCGCTCCTCCAGAGTGCTGCTGCCCAATTCTGAAGACTACCTCCTGCCTCCTGAACTGCACGTGAAGTGCCTGGCCAGTCCCTATGAACTACCTCCTGCTTGTAGGGCGGGCCAGTCTTATATAGTGCTGGCCCGTCCAGGAGGCTGCTCTTGCCAATGCCCAAACGTGCTAGACCCCGAGGAAGCTTCCGGGAGGCTGCTCTTGCCAATGCCAGAACGTGCTAGCCGCTGAGGAAGCTTCCGGGTAGTTTCCAGGTAGCTTCTGGCTAAAGACTAAGGGCCTATAGGCCCTTGTTTGCAGGCTGTCAGGCTGAAACGACCCAGGGCCTGTAGGCACTCGTTTTCAGGCTGTCAGTCTGACACAACACAGGGCCTGTAGGCCCTTGTTTTCAGGCTGTCAGGCTGAAACGACACAGGGCCTGTAGGCCCTTATTTTCAGGCTGTCAGGCTGAACCGACACAGGGCCTGTAAGCCCTTGTTTTCAGGCTTTTAGGCTGAAAACGACACAGGGCCTGTAGGCCCTCGTTTTCAGGCTTTTCGGCTGAGAACGCTGGTCGGGCCCTGCAAGCCCGTGTGGCTGCGTAGTATGCCACAGCCGGGCACCAGGGCGTGATGCTCGGGGTACCCGGGTGTGCAAAATTTTTTATTTTTTTTTTGGCTTTCTGCGCTCTCGCAGAGGACCCCAAATCCGGGCTCGTTTCATTTTTTGAGAGTTGAATGTCAAGGTGGGGAAAGGGGGTTATAAATTGTTTTTAAATGGGCTAAAAGGGGTTAAAGTGGGGTCCTTTAGTGTGATTTTGTTTGTTTGTTGTTTTATCTCTGATTCTATGAGGAATTCTGATGTGACCCTCAGCCAAAGGTTGTTTGTATTGCAATTCTACACAACATTTGTTTTTTCAGGAATTATTTATTTTTTCTGGAATTTTTTACTTTCGTTTTTTTTTTTTTTTTTTTTTTTTTTTTGGGCTGGGACTGCTCGGAACCCTGCTCGGGGGCCATGCCCGGCCGGGCACCCGGGTGTGTATCCGGGCACGAGTTGGGTGCTCGGGTGCCCGAAAAAACAACCTAGAAAATAATATTAATTAATTATTTATTTATTTATTTTCTTTACTTTTGTCATTTGTGAAACACGTTCGAATTAATTAATTCTTTTCCAACATTCCTGCGAGGCATAAGGTCGTCATTTGTGAAACACGTTCGAATTAATTAATTCTTTTCCAACATTCCTGCGAGGCATAAGGCCCCGATGAGCCCCTTTGACCCTGCAAGTAGCATTGTCGGCCGCCCTAAGTGAAGGCAGGCCTGACCACGGCCACAAGGCCTGTTTTCAGGCTACCACGCAACTGGGCCAAATTCAGGCAGTTGCGCAGCGACAGTTGGTTGAGAGCACCCAGGCCCTAGCTGCCTTTTTCGTATGCAACTGAGGCAGGCCCTGGGGCAGATACACAACATGGGCCGAACCCAGGCTGCAGGCAGTTGGGGACAAGCAACCGTCACAGACCCTGGGCCTGATTCGTTAGGACCGGGCCTTAGCCTCTCGGGGCCTACCGAAAGCTTCTGGGCCGAGGCCCAACAGCGCCTGGCCGCATGCAGCTGGCAGGGCACTTCCATTTAGGAAAGGGCCTGCCCCCGCATTCGGGATTCGGGCACTGGCTGCATGTTGCGCAAGTGCTGCTGCGCTAACGCTGGTCAGACCCACGCGCTCACGGTGTAGGGCCAAACCCCGGTAGACTTTCGAGCCTTGGTCGACCCCACTGCGCGTCCCAGTTGGCTCGGCCCGCCCACGCTCATGCTCAGGGCGCGGGCCGCTCGTCCCAGGGTCACCCCCACCTAGTGCTTTGAGATGGATGGGGGTGGGCCATTGAGCGACATGGCTTTAACATTGGGGATGTAGCTCAGCCCTCACGCCGGGTGGCAGTCTCGCTGGTCATTCCGCAAACGATGATTTTTTTTTATCTTGGTTGTGTTCCCAAGCAAGTGCTCCTTCCAATACGCAAGCAGTCCAAGGGTTCTTTGAGAGTTCTTCTTCTTTTGTGCGCAGGCTAAGCGTCATCCTTAGGCCACGCACCATTTCCCTAAGCACAACAATCCTACGGCGTCATCAAGGTGCAGCAACGCCGTCTTCCCCCTCGCCTCTACGCACTCCTCGTGTCTCATACATTCCATCCATCGTCATTGGAACAGGCCCCTTAATCCATTCGGGGCCTTCACATGCATGCGCAGGCTACTTCACAGCCTGATCAGCAAAAGTCTCACTTCTTTTTTTCATTCACACTCCAAGTCTCATGCACAAAGGTCTATCTCATGGTTCGGTTTTACACTAAGGGTCCCGTAGCCCCTTTGCCCCGTCTTCCTTTTTTTTTTTCCTTGCCGCCGGGTTTCTCCTGGCCCGATCCCGCTCAAGGCATTCCAAGACTTTACTTAAATGCACAATCCCACACGAAAGCAAAGACCGATACAATCCCCCATTGGGGGTCAACACATAGCCCTTCCCGCATGCCTAACTTTCTATTTCTTTGGCTTCTGATTATTCTCCTTCCTTTGCTCAATCAGTCCATCCTCTTATCATAGTTATGCAGTCGGGGAAATGGTCGAGTCAAACTGACCTTGCTCTAGGTACCAACTTGGTCTAGTCCTTTTTCCCGGACTTGACTCCTCTCAATTGCTCACGTGTCTCTTCCTTCGCCTTCTTGGCGGCACAAGGGACCGGCAACCCTTCCCTTGCCCACTTTCTCCGCTAAGTGAGGACAAAATCTTTGCACCGTTCGTCCCCTGGCAATGTAACAAGTGAATGGGAATGGTTAGTTATATGCCAAGTGGCGGAAGGGAAGAAGGTTGAAGGGGCCGAAGTATGAGAGAGAGGAACGAGAGAGAGAGAGAGAGAGAGAGAGAGAGAGAGAGAGAGAGGGGAAGGGTGAGAGAGAGAGAGGGAGAAAGGGAGAGAGAGAGAAAGAACTTCCTAATCCTAATCAAGCCTTACCCATACTTGACCTACCATCCCCTGTTCAAGATCTGAACCGATTCATCATTGAGTGAGAGAAGACTGAACTGCACAATTTAGGCTAGAGCACGCACATGTGTGAGG